TACTACAAAAAGAATGAAGTCAATTGGATACAAATTGAGCGAGCTAGGGGGCCCAGAGCTACCCCTGCATGGTGGTCCACCCCAAGATCAGTGCCACCTACCTGATTTGGGCCGGGTGTGATCGAGAAAAGCGCCCTGTAGATCAGATTAGTTAGTGCCTGCCTAATTTGGCTGAACAGATAAGAAAGCGCCTGTTATCTATTGAGATAACAGGCCCTGCAGCCTCTCCCGGGGCCTCTTACCGCATTTGGAGGGCAAATACAATCTCCGACGCTTATGTCAGGTTGCTCGCTAACCTACGGCCGTTGGTGCATAAGGGGGGCCTGGGCGCGTACGGCGTCTGGTGCATCAGAGTTACCACAGGAGGTGGCACAAGCGGAGCTCGTCCGCAAGCGCGATCAAATCAGGACGCTCACCCTCCTCGTCGATGTCTTCCGCCTCATGTGGGAGTTCTACTACGACCACAGCAGGAACCTCGAGGCACAGCTAGCGCCTCTCCTTGATGCGAAGAGACGCCGGGAGAATTTTCCATATCTTCATCCTTCTTGAACATACGGGACTCTGAACTGCCTGGGAGACATTGGTGAGTGGATCACATTGCCTCGCGACTACGCCCATACAATATGTTGATTTGGCTTTTGCGCGCAGCGCCTCTCTTGCCCATTGCATCCGACGAATCGTGCTTTCGCCGCTACCTCTTTCATCGCCCCTCAGTATGCTCTCGAACGTCGGTTTGCTTTGCTTTACCCCCTTCGTATGTTTGTATATCCTTGCTGCGCGCCTCTGTTTTCGGGTTTTCTTGCTCTCTAGACCTTTGTTATCTCTCTAATCGCAATACACACATTGTAGCTTGGACATCTTATATCAGGTGCGGAATCTGCAAGCCACGACCACACATCCACGACCACACATCTCGCACTTTTTTCACAGCACGTTTCATGCATATGGCTATTCAACCAGCCTTCGCCAGCGCCGTCGCTCTCCTCCGCTGGTTAGCCGTGCTGCTTCGATATATCTGGAATATTTCAAAGCTCGCGTGGTTTCTCTCACGACGCCTTTGGTGGATCCTTGTGCACTTTGCCAGGTTCATCCGAGGGATGCAGATGCTTTCGGCAGGGTTATGGCGGCCCGCAGTGCTTCTGTACAAAGCTGGGCAAGTTACCTCCGAGGCCCTCCTCACTACGATAGAGACGATCGGCTCGGCGTTGAGCGGTCGCGTGATTGACTACCTCCTTTCCACCTCGTCATCCTCCCGCGGGACTGGAGGATGGCGTGCAAGGCGCCAAGGATTTACCGGGACATGGGCGGTGAGTGGCGTATTCCGCGCCGAGCAACAGCGATCTAATTTTATTTGCCAGAACTGGACCGCGGCGGCGATATTCAAGGAATGTACGCGCGCTATATCTTCTGCAGTCTTCAAAAAGACTCGGGTTCCTCGGCGCCGTGCTCCGTCGTTCACATGCTGGCACGCCGAAACACCCAATCAACCCAGCTCGTCACCCGCCTTGCCTTCGGCCGCTACGTACGCCACACCTCTTCCACAGGGCCCAGACGATCCAGATGGGCGCCTTCTGCGCGTCCACGAGCGACTTTTCATTGTGTCGTCAGAAGCCACGTCCTACGCCGAGCATGCACACGACCTCGCTTCACGCCTGCATGGTCAGATTGCCATGTCAGGCGACGACCTTGAGCGACACTCCCTCGACATACCGGTCGCCGCGTACGCTGTGGGCATTTCCTTGCAGAAGCTGGGTATACATGTGCGGAAGGTCATACGATGGTGAGCGCCCAGCTTTTCGAGGTACACCAATACCCACTCAAACTCACACAGGAACCTTGCGGAGGGTTCGTGGATGGAATTGGTAAAGCATGATGTACTCGATGAAGTCATCGCCAAGGCCAAGCATCTCGACGCCGTCACCAGGAGAAAGCAACGCACGGGGACAGCCCTGGCGGTCGGAGAACTTGACGGCGCCGCAATCATCTCCCTCTGGACCACTGCGATCTCCCTTGCATTGGAGGTTAGAGAGATTGCCAACGAAACCGATGTCGACGTGGAGCAGGAGATTCCGGGCGCATTTCCGATAGAAACGACGCCCGTTATGCCACCCTCAACGGATCATTCTACGACTTTTGACGTCCTCGACGAGGAGCAGGAGATGCCGGGCGCGTATCCGGTCCAGATAGCGCCACCGGTATCTTCCATGGCGGGTCGTTTTGGGGTGTCCAACGTGTACCATATGCCCGGTGCTTTTGTGGTGCTTTTGCGGGACGAGGATTGAGCTATGTAGTACAACTAGAGTGATGCGGTAGGGGAATTTGGACATTATCTTATATGCTTAGTAGTACTTCGGTGAAGTTGTATGCGTCGACGGTTGAATTCACGCGCTTCTCTGTGTTTGGGGATCTATATACGCTCTTGTTAACTTCCTTTTTATATATGGATTTCTGCGCGCAAACCCGCAGCGCTCAACGCGCTCGAGTTCACGCAATACTTATTCACCTTCCGAAGTGTCCGTAACAGACGCGTGACGTCACGCGTCGTGATATCGCGCGTTCAGGACCTGGCACGGCTTCGCGTCTCGTCGCGTTCTCACATAACTAGTACTCCGTGCTCCCTCAGCTATTTTGCAAACCCTTTCTGCTCAAATGCATGTCATGGAGCGAACAGCCACCTCTCATCAATAGCGATAAGTAATGCCTATCGAGAGCACTCAAGCACGTTGTTCGTTTGAATAAGGTGATTGAATCTGGGAGTACTACGCTGTTTGTGCTCGTACTGACACTCGCGGTACTTAGATGTTTCCAAACTGCACTACCCCGCTAACGTGCCGCAGGCGCATGGTAATTGTGAGGCGAGCAGAAGACAAAGGGGCAAACACGTTCCAGTGAGCCACAGCGCGTGTTTGATCTCTTTGCACGCAATGGGGCTCCTCAGGTTCTTAAACTCGCACCTACCTGAGGACCCACCCTCCGTCATTCCTGCTCATAGGACACGATGGTAACCATCTCGCTCGACTTCTCCTCCCTTGTTGCTATTGTGTCTCTGGCCCTAGTATCGGGTCTATACGTCAAATTATTTCTTCGAGATTGGCAAGCATCCGAAGACGTCGCCACTCGCCTTCTCCTCGCCGCCAATGCGGCCCAGTTGGCCCCGGGTCTCTTGGAAGCTGAGGGCAACGGCGCGCTGAGGCGGCGCGCTAGTCATGCTACCATAGTGTCTGATAATCACGTCGCCAGGTGCGTTATGAATGTCCCTCAATCGTGTACATCGCACTCACAGCTCGAAACAGGCGCGGCAGTGTTCCTCTCGCGGGAAGGGCGCAGAGCCGTCAAGGCACTCCCGCCGCTTCAGCAGTAGCCACGCCTCCTCCCCGTTCGTCCACTCCGCCTACTGTAGACGCCTCTCCTACGTCATCCGCCTCGTCCTCGCGGTCTACCACTCCGCGTCCTGAGACATGGATCGAAGAGACGAGCGCTCCTGTGGCTGGCACTGTCGCAGGGCCCGGGCCATCTTCGATTTCCCAAAGGAAGCAAGTTGCGCGCGGCAGCGTCGCACCTTCCCTCCCTGCGCCGGCAGCGAGAAGCGTCTCGCGAGGTCTGTCCACAGTCTCGTCGTTGTTGACGACACCTCCTGCAACCCCGGAACCCCCATCGGTCAGCTCCTCTCCGCTGTCTTCTCTGTCTTCGGCCACGACACACTGCGAAGATGAACCCATGGACGTGAGTACTTTCATCCGTAGTCCCTGTGATGCGCACTGAACCCCTACCAGGAAGACATTGTGTACGGGCGGAAGACTAAGACGACCCATGGAGGTGAGTATCATAATTTGCCGCAGATTATAATGCGCTTACTAACTTGACTCGACGACAGTTGACACTTCGTATTTCCTATCTAAGGCAACCGGTCCCTTCAACGGAACCCCGGATCCCATCACCTGCCAAAATCTTCACGTCGGAGACGTTTTTTGCCACACGATCACCCAGACGGACCCTCCGACGTTTCAGATTTGGCTGTGGTCCACCCGCGCCGGCGGCAGGCAGTACTGGGCGACCGTTACCCAAGGTCACAAACACCATGACGGCCGCCGGCTGATCCTGACCTTCGAAGGGAAAAAGCCCTCGTGGGTCAGGGAGGAGACTTACCGCAGGCACATGCGTAGGGAGGAGAAGGCAGAGAAGGAGCGGCAGGAGATGAAGGAGCGGCAGGAGATGCTGGCACGACAGGAGCGGCGGGCGAGCATGCGTAAGTCGAACCTCACAACATATCAGCCGTCTGCAGCTCACTGATAGTCTGCAGAACCCGAGCAGGCGTAGCCGATCGGCCGAGCTACATCGACCATGCTCCCTCTTGAGTCTCGCGAGACTCTGAGTCAAAGTTTTGCGTGGTATTCTCCGTCTTCCGCCGTCCGCCGTCCCATCCTTTTTAGTTACCTTGCTTGCGTTGTTCCTTGTTCCTTCAAGTTCCCCGATCCTTCCCAGCGTCTCTCAGATATGTGGCTCTCTTCTCTGTACACTACTGCATCCTCTATAATCATCATCCTATCCATGCAACGCATACTCGCTCTTAGCTACTGAGGTACGCCCTCGGAGCCTGGTCCAGACCAGCATGGGCGTCTATACGGGCGTCATGGCCCAAATCAGGAAGGAGGGGAGGACCGGCTTCGCCCAGCTGGTGCCAGTGTGGCGAACCCTCCTCTCCTTCGCCCTCGCTGTCTTTCACCCATCCTTCAACGTCCTTGGCCCATCAAAACTCTTTCTTCTCACATCTGTCCTTATTTATGCCGGACGCCATGCTCTCTTGTCTTTACAGTTGCCACCATGCTCTCCTGGGCCATCCCAGCCTTCGCAGTTCTTCTGTGTCTCCTCGTATGTCTCCTCAGATGTCACCGCCGATCCTCCGAGACTAGCAACCGGACGCCGGGTTTCATCTATTATGCCACTACCACTCTCAGGCAACACCATACTACCAACTTAGAGCTCCTCGTGCCCCTGCCGACCGACTACGCCGCCTTCAAACCCACGATCTTACGCGATTTTGGCAAGGATAGTCATACGTGAGTAACAAGCACAAAATGGACTCCTCTCGCTGACCACGCCACAGTGATTTGGGTACGTCGCATTTACAGGGCGAAGACATCCCACAGCCCTCGCGGAGCTCGTCGCGTCGGCCGACGTTCGTCATACAACCTTGCGCCCTCTCCCCCGACATTCCTATCTCGCCTCCTACGCTTAATTGCGCACCCCCTTCTGAGAGCGACAGCAGACCTTCAACCTCAAGGGGAGAGCCGGCTCATATGCACGATGTCGACGAGGTGGATTTGGACGGTAGCCAGGATGTCTCGCATGCAACGTCTACCGCTAATCGTCAAGGTTCTCCAGGCCTGGTAAGTGTATACACCTCAGCGTTGCTGTTATACTAATTGCCCGCATGCAGATATTAATCAGACATCCGAATACCCGATCCGTCGACGGCGAGACGTACGACTCCCCGTTCTTCGAGATCGAAGGTACAAATCCCGTCGACAGTCCACCCGATTTCACCCCGGATGAAGATGTTCAACTAGGAGACGTCTTCTACTACCGCTACAAAGGAAATAGCGCTAAGTCTAGGCTATGGATATGGTGTTTCGACACGGTTCAAGGTGTGCGCAACTGGAAGCGCGTCAAGATCGGACAGAGGCGCGAGGACGGCAGGCGGCTCACGTTGAGCGAGTCACGAAAGAACCCCTCCTGGGTGAGCAAGGCATGGTTCGCGCGGCGCGGTATCCAGAGTATGTACACATATCTTCCCTCGCCGCGGTCTCGAGCTGATCAGTACCTTCAGATCGTCTTTAGCATATTGTTTTGTTTGGCAGTGTAGCCTTTGCTTCAGTACCTATGTCTGATTATTCTGTAGCTCGAGAATGTACTATTGGAACCACCGCAATGCATCCTATCATCGAACAAAGCTGGATCTGCCAAGGTCAAGTGGCGTATGCGGCCCTCCCTACTCTGCTCGTAACCACCATGATACCCCAATCCTCTGAGCCTGAACGCCGCTGCGTCGACCCGATCGCCTCCCAGTCCTCCCTGCTTTCGTCCGATGACGCCTCAACATCAGACTTCAGTGAAGTATCCAACTCCTCTGCCTATGAAGGTGATTTGGAGCGTCGTCTCTCTGGAACCACCGTGCGGCAGCTCTTACGCATAAAGTAAGTTCGCCTTTTGCTACAATTACTCTGATGCTGACCTGGGGTGTTCGATAGGGACGACGGATATGAACACCAGTTGGAGCAAGACTACGCTGCAGCATTGGAGGAACTAGAGAGGAAGAGTGTGTATAACGCTGCTCTATATCAGGCCGTGATTGGGTTGAAGCGCGACAGGGTGCGTCTTACGCGTTCCAGCGTCCTCGCCCGATCTGATACCCCGAGTAGAAGGCTTGTGATGTACATGTGAATCGACTCGAAGATGAGCTAGCATCCGTACGCAAGGAGTGCGAGCAACGGTGTGCCCCGGTGCAGCTCTCATATCGCCAAGCGCAAGGTGCGTCTACTATTGCCACCCCGTCTGTCTGCTTTTCTCATGTTTTGATAGCGGGAAACCAAGGCTCTGGAAAAATTCCGGATCCAGTCCGCCGACGACTGTGTAGACCTGCGCAGCCGGCTGTCGCGGCTCGAGGCTGATATCACAATCCTGAAGAACAAATTCGAGGGCTCTGCGAAGGATAAAGATGAGGTTAACGGTATCCTCAATTCCATCCACACATGGGCGGGCGATGTCGACCAAAGGCTTGCCAGCATGGAGGAAGATTGCGCACGCCTCCAGATATTTGTGGAGAAAGAGTTGCAAACCAGGCTTGATCGTGCCCCGTACGAGCTTGAGTTCCCGACCCTACCTAACGACTCGTCCTCGCAAAACTCCCCTCTCACGACCGCTTCGCCGCCTTCATCTCAGCAAAGTTCTCTGGCGGAAGAAGCGTCCTACGACGCCTTGTCCGACGTCTCCATCCCAAGTTCCGCACATGCCATGGTACGCGATTCCTTCTTCGTACGTTCCGATGCGCTGACATCGTATCCTATTAACGTCGCAAAGCCCCACGTCCTCAAAAGGTGTCACCTCTGTCCCGTCATCAAGAGCATTCCCGAACGCGGTGTACGCAAGCAAGGTGGTCGGCACAAGCCACCCAGCGTCCGGTAGCAGCAGAGCGGACCTCGTCAAGCTTGCCATGATCCTGGTCTTAATACGATACGTGGTGAGCTGACTGCATCGCCGTAGGCTATCTGCACCTACTAAAAATCCGTAGACTGTCTTGAAAGTATCGATGACGCATGCTCGAGTCAATCCCGAAGGTGGTCAGAAGCAGATGTACGCCAAGGTGAGCCCGCTCGTTCTCTTCCGTTTGGTATATCGATTGACAATTAACTACAGCTTCGGAAGTTTGGCACACGTCTCGTCCCGGATTCGCTTCCCCCCCTACTCATCTACTTGTGCCTGGTAGCTTGTTTGGTTGCGTACTTCTTCCTGCATCTGGTGTTCTGGAGGGGCCCCGCTCGTGCCGGCGTCACCGCGCTCGACGCTGAGAGCGAGCATCCCTTTTGGGAGATGGCCCTTCGCCACACCCGTGACAAGGCCGCCGCACGAGTTCGGCGGGAGATATGTCTGTAAAAGCAGCCGGTTTATGCACGCCTTTCACATGCCCATCTTCTTATCCACGATCGCTATCAAGCCCATCGCTGTTCCGGTGAGTCTTGTTCCGGTGAGTCCCTTCCCGCTCGTTTCTCCAGCGGCACTGCTCTACGTCTCCTACTGCGATCGCGTCGCGGTCATTGCCCTCTCCCTTTCGATGTCTGCGCTGCCGGGCAAGCACCTCTGTACTTGCTCGGTGTGTCGCCAACGGATCTGGACCGACGCCGACAAAGTGGAGCACCGTGGTCGACACTTCGTACGCGCACAAACTGTACAAGATCATATCGAACGCGATGCTCTTCGTGGTCAGCAACGGATGGAGGAGAACGATCGAGCAGTGGCAGCTACAATCTTATTGGCGAGTGCTGGTTCATCATCCCCGCCTGGCACTTTTCCCGTGCGGACTCGAGACCACGACGCGCATGCTGTTTTGATCCCACCGACGCCAACGGGCCACGAGGTGTGTATATCTCACAAGAACGTCCTCCACGACTCTAACATCGCCGTTAGAATGACTCGTCCCCGGGTCATGTTACGCCCCCTGAGGCAGCACCTGTCGCGCACGAAGCAGAGGTTCGTGTCAGAAGTCGCTTATCCTACATCTTAGACACGACTAATAGGAACTGTTCGCAGCCGGTCTCAAATAATCACACGCACCTTGCCCCCCAGCGACTGTCCCAGCTGTCCCTCCTCCAGTCTTCTCTTCACGCCCAACGAAAGCTCATTCCGAACGTCATGAAGTTCAACTTCATCTCAGCCCCGACATCCGTGGACTCTCTCCCTGAGCTTGCGGGAAATGGAGGGGACAACGCGCTCTTCGGAAGCATCCGGGGAAAGCTTCTCTTCTTCCTGGAGCAACTACAACAGCTACAGCCGATTGGAGACAGGGATCTTGATCGTCGCCTCGAGGTTCTGACCTCGACGGCGGAAAGTCATATACAGCTGCTCGAGTCGAGGAAGGCGGAGGCGTGGCAAGAGGTTCTTTTGAGCAGCATACTGGCCAAGAGAGTTCTCGACGGGAAAGGGCCCGTTGCGATCGATACCAGTGAGTAATTCTTCCCTCTCGCGGCCACCAATTCACTCAACGATGTACAGCGCATCTTGGTCTCTCCACCGCACGAGAAATGGAACCCTTTGTTCTGGCCGCTTTCCTGATGACCGTTTTCCTCCACACCATCGCTCATGTCTCCCGTTCAAATATGGGATTCGTGCTTGCCACTCTGAAGGTCATCTTCTACGGCTGTTTCGTATACTGCCATGCGTCTTCCCGCCTCTCACCCGCACGAATCGACAAGATCCTGAACGCGGTCCCCGCCGATATCCGCACGGTACTTTCGGAGCTGAACATCGAGCCAGACTTTACGCGCTATGCGTCCTGCCCAAGGTGCCGTGCGACGTACGCGCCGGATCCCGACAACCCCGCGCGGCCGTATCCCCGACGTTGTACGTTCCAAGAGACTGACAAGCCACCCTGCAACAAGAAGCTCATATTTTGTCAAGTGCACGCCCCTTCTAATCCGCGTCAATCGGAGCGCGTGACGTACAATCCCATTCGTCCTTATCCCTACCGGCCAATCAACTCGTGGCTGGCTGAGATGTTCCAGAGGCCGCACTTGGCGCGGCTCGTGAAGGACGCCTGGAAGCCAGCGGGTACAGGTACGACATCGAAGTCGATTTGGGCGGACATATGGGACGCACCCGTCCTCCGACGTTTCCTGGGCCCCGACGGACGAACACCGTTCTCCGACCAACCTGAGAATGCGGCACATCTAGTCTTCTCGCTGTTCATCGACTGGTTTAACCCATTCGGCAACAAAGCAGCAGGGAAGTCGCATTCGATCGGAGCTATCTACCTCGTCTGTTTGAACCTCCCTCCTGACATTCGCTACCGTCCTGAGAACGTCTATCTGGCTGGCATCATACCAGGGCCCAACGAACCCGAGCTCCATCAACTCAACCAATTCTTACGACCGCTCATTGACGACCTCCTCGTCCTTTGGCATCGCGGTCTGTATCTAAGTCATACTGCCTTGGGCTCTGGGAGCTTGCTCGTCCGTGCCGCGGTCATTCCTCTCGTGTGCGATCTACCGGCGCTGAGAAAGGCGGCTGGTTTCGCGGGGCATTCTTCGACGCACTTCTGTTCCTTCTGCAAACTCTTGAAACCCGACATCAACAATCTCGATCGGCCCTCATGGAGGCGTTATACGCTGGAGCAGCATCTGAAGTATGCAGGGAAGTGGAAGAAGGCTCCGACCGAGGCTGAACGAGATCGCCTGTTCAAGAAGTACGGCTTACGCTGGTCAGAGCTACTGCGCTTGCCGTACTGGGATCCTACCAAGTTTGCGCTCGTCGACAGCATGCACAACTTGTTCCTGGGCGAGCTTCGTCACCACTGCCGCGACGTATGGGGAATCAACGTCAAGGACAAATCATCTGATTCCCCTAAGCTCGCGCCGCACGACCCCGACGAGCAGCAAGTCTGGCTCGACAGGGTTGCGAGCTACGTTCGGAGGGGCTCACAAGCTCGTCTGTCCAAGATCCGCAAAGGTTACATCGCCGCGGTTGCAGAGTTGAACGACGCCATGCCGACTGCCTCGAAGTTCGCGAAGAAGGACTATATTGCATCTCTACTCCAATGGGTGCGTGTTCCATGGCTGGACTTGTCAGTCAATGTATACTTACACGATCGGATACAACAGTGGACGACTTCTCCGGGAGAGATACGCCTGCCCCCCGTACTTGCAGAGCCAACTACGGAGTTCCAGCTCATTCGAGATCAGTACGACATCTCGCGGTTCAGCATTCTAGATCAAGAAACTGTCACCAGCCTGCGCGCAGACATCGCAGCCACCTCCTTTCCATCGTGGCTGGAACGACCTCCGCGAAACTTTGGCAGCACCTCACACGGTAAACTGAAGGCCGATATGTGGCGGACCGTCTGTACGGTGAGTATGGTCATCACGCTCGTACGACTATGGGGAGGTCGCGAGGCCACCGAGCGACAGCGGGCGCTGCTCGAGAACTTCGTCCATCTGGTCTCCGCTGTCGACCTCGCCGCTCGCCGCTCGACGAACCAGGAACGCATCGACAAATACGATCGTCATATGTTGGATTATCTCACGTCACTCCGTGATCTCTTCGATCACCAACTCGTTCCCAACCATCACCTCTCCCTCCACTTGAAGGAATGCTTGGAGCTCTTCGGTCCCGTCTCCGCGTGGTGGGCCTTCCCATTCGAGCGGTTCAATGGGTTGCTCCAGCGGCTCAGCACTAATAGCCAGACAAGTAAGTGCACATCTACTTGCAGCACGGATCAGACTGACACACGGGCAGGTGATATGCCCCTCACCTTCATGCGTTACTTCTACCTCGGTGCTAACTTGCGGGCGTTGATGGAAGAGACGGATTGGCCTGACAAGCCTGAGTTTCGGGCCATGAAGAACGCGTACCTCGACGCTGTGCGTGACGCCGTGCGCGGGACACGCCTGGCCGACTTCTACTCAGCCCATGGCGACATGGCTCACCCGGAGCTGTCCTCGGTGTTCAACGAGCACAAGCTGGAAAATCTCCCCTCCACTATCTATGACACCTTGTATACTCGGATCTCCGTTCTGGATGGGAACATCTTCGCCCCGATCTTCGCTGAGTTGGATGATCTCCGTCTGCGCCTTCCTCTTGGTGCTCAACACGTCTCTTCCTTCGCTCACCGCGGGGCGACATACGCCACGAGCATCTCATCACGCAACAACTCGTTCGTACTCTTCGACACACCCGGCACCTCCGTCCCGATGGCCGGCATGATCAAGGACATATTCCTACACGGTCGGCTGGTACAAGGCAAAGCGATCATAGAACCATTCTTCGTGGTCGAAGAATATGTCCCCCTTTCACTCGAACATGCTACTCTGGACCCTTACCGCCGCTTCGAGGACCTCGGGACCCGTCTTTTCTATCACCGTACTACGGAAACTCCCAAGCTCCTCGCCCTCCAAGATATCCGGTGCCATTTTGCGGGGATGACGTACACCCCGGACGGCATCGGCGAAGAATGCATAGTGGTACGGTCGCTTGATCGGGTGAGTGTGAATAGCACTATAAAATAACTCGTACTGAACGTTCATTAGAGCTGAATGATTTATGTATGTTGAATATCCAGAACTAGGACCACAAACCACTCCATACCATATCCTGATGTGCACCGGCGTAAGGCGGTGAAGCGTGGTGCGGCACCGGTAGGGACGTGGGGGCGTCGTGCGGTGCTGCCCAGCATGGTATGGAATATTACATGGCTGGGCTGGGTGTGCTTGCAGCGTCCAGCAAGCTCGGGGCGGTACGGCTCGGGACAGCACCGCGCGGTGTGGTGCGACATGGTGCGGGACGGCGCTGCGCGGTACGGTGCGACGCGGTGTGGTACGGCGCGGTGCAGCGGCGGGCGGCGGCACATTGCGCAACGCTGTGTGCTCCGACACGGCGCGGCATCGTGCGACATGGCACTGCATACCTTCATGCAGCAGCGTGCGGCGTTGGCGTGGGGGGGGAGAACACTGGCAGGCCAACAAGTGAGTACGTGCGCCTGCAGGACGGTGTTCGTCCGTCGGCGACCTGCGTAAGGCCCGCGTACACGCGGCGTGGCGCCGGGCTTGACGAGCGGAAGGCCCCGTACCGCGACGCGCAGTGCCGCTACAGCGCAATGACGCGCGGTATGGGTATGACGCGGGATGGCGCGGCGCGGTACCGCGCGGTACGGGATGGTACGCGCGGCGCGGGATGGTACGCGCGGCGCGGGATGGCGCGGGATGGCGCGGCGCGGTGCCGCGCGGTACGGTATGGCGCGGTATGGCGCGGTACAGCGCGGCGTGGTACGTCCAACGCGGTATCGCACGGTACGTCGCGGTATGGCGCAGTACGGTACGGCGTGGTGCCGCACGGTACGTACAGCGCGGTATGGCGCGGTACAGCGCGGCGTGGTACGTCCAACGCGGTATCGCACGGTACGGCCGGTACCGTACGGCGCGGCGGGATAGGGCGCGGCGGGATATGGCGCAGTACGGCGGCGCCGTTACGGCGGCACAGCGCAGTGTCGCGCTGCTCAGCGCCACAACGTTAACATGGCAAGGGAGGGCCGTTCATCCCGAGGTAAGGCGCACGTCGGGCCGCGCGAGAAGGCGCACACGTCGGGCACCGCGCGAGGAGGCGCACACGTCGGGCGACGCGCGAGGAGGCGCACACGTCGGGAGGCGCGCAAATAAGTGCGCGACTGGACATCGGCGAGCGGGCGCGGTAAGTAGGACATGCGTGCGGGTCCTCAGGCCTCATGGCGCCCCGTACATAGTTCCTTTGTCGGGCACCGTAGGGCGCGCGGGAGGGCAAAGTAGGACATGCGCGCGGAAGACCCCGGCCAGCCCTCGGGGCGCAGTGCGTCGGGAACGCCGTCGACCA